CCGTCAACTAGCCACATGGATTCCTATCTATTCAGTGCAGCAAGGGGGTGCGACCGAGTGCGGCTAAGCTACCCATGGCTAGATTTTATGGCGAAATCATAGGTAAAGCCAAACACTTAGCGAGCCAGTCATTAAATGATCCAGGGATGTGCATGGCGGCGCTGAAGATGTTGAACAAAGCCATTAATGAAAAAATGGGTCTATTTGCCATTGAAGACCCAATGATCGCAATTACAAAGGGAAGAACTAAGGAAAAGCGACTCAAGAGTAGCATGGAGCAGCCCAGTAAACGTAAAAAGCTGAGGACTACCTCGACATATTAAATATGGAGTCAGCTTTGTTCATTTGTAAGATTAAATTTTAGATGGCGCCGGGTGACAAACAGACAAGGAGCAATATTACAAGTTGATAAGGTGACAAGCAGACAGGGGCGACATAGAACTTTTGTATGCAGCTAAATAGCAGAGGGGTCGACGAATAATCATACGTCTACACATGGCAGGGGTCAGCAAATAATATTCTTTTAGGGTTTTCGTTAAAAAAACATGAAAAAGATGACTGACCTGGAGAACCTGGGCATCGATCCCAGTGCCTCTCGCATGCTAAGCGAGCGCTCTACCATTTGAGCTAGATCCCCGTGCTGTTGGGCTTTACGATCCTAGCACTATTATATTTGTAAACTGCTATTTTCGTTATTTCCAGGCCTAATTTCACTATTTCCCATCAATTAAGAAAATACTCGAGAGACAAGTTGTTATAAAAAAAAAAAAAAAAAAAAAAAACCATCAATTAAGAAAATGCTGCTCCACCCTTGCCTATGTCCACGACAAGCAATTCTCAACTTGGATCCGGAAACTGCGCTCTTCACACCGCGAGTCCAAGAGACGCTCAGCCAGCGTAGCGTAAGGAAGCAGGAATACATTCGACGTGCTATGGTAAACATGACAGGCAATCGACTGCGTAATCAAGACGACTTGGACCGTGCTTTCGACAGAGAAGAGCACAGACTCGATCAACAATGGATTAAACAGAAGCGGGCACAACTGAAAGTAGTACAGAGGCACCTTCGGCAACAAATGCAGCAGGCAGAACAGCAAACACGGGAACAACAGCGACAATTGGAAGAGGAGCGGCGGCGGGCAGAACAGCAAGAGAGTGACCGACAGCGGCAGCAGGAAGAGGAGCGGCAGCAGGAGAAGCAACAGCAGGAGGAGCAACGACGCCTGCGGGACATCGAGAGACGGGCTCGATACAGAGAAGAACGACGAAGACGACGCCATTTATATCGTAGATATATGAATGTGGATGCAGAGGCGTGTATAGACCACTTGCATGAGGATGCGCACAAGGCGGTGGACAATATGACGACACCTGTTCGCCAACCATTGCCGGCAGTATCAGATGAAATTGAGCGAGATTTACTGGGATTGGCGCTCCAGGTACCAACAATCCAGCAAATTCGGACAGCTAGGAAACGTTTGCAAACACATCGAAGGCTTCACTTCTCTGCTCGGATGGGTCAGTGATTCACAACGGCACAGAGCAGGTCAGTGCAGCATTCGGAGTTGTCGTTTCTGTGGATGGTGGTCCCTACACAACGGCGTTCAGTGGACGGGTCGGGGGATACGCGTCGTCAACAATTGCAGAGATGTGTGGGCTCTTAGCAACAATTCTTATCAGCCCAAGGGAAGAGAACGTCGACATCTACATCGACAATCTCACAGTCGTCAACAATTTCAAGGAGTTGGTGCAGCAGCGGGATTCAGCAACAGCAAGGCAGCGTTTGAGATCTGCAGATGCACAGTGGTGGGCGATGGTGCATTATGCCTTCTTGCAACAAGGACAAGGTATATCTGTGCATTGGGTACGAGGACATGCTGGACACCGTGGCAACGAGGCTGCAGACACTGTTGCCAAGGCAGCACATGGGATCGATACAGGACTATGGAGGCTAGACGCAACGCAGCACCATGATTTGAAATGCCACGCACAGTTTGCAACACACAGTGCAGACCTGGACTTGAGGAGGATACTGAAGTTGCAGTCCGCGGTACGGCACCATTATCAGTGGACATTGCAGCATCGAACGAGGACCTACATCAAGGATTGGCGGTCGGTAGCATGGGCGCCCACGCTACGGATCTTACACGATAACAACCCGCCAAAGCGCTTATACACCAGCCTGGAAGACTGTCGTTTACGTTCGCACAGGATCAAGAAGCTGCATGGAGATTTGCCGACATTGCAGGCGATGAAGAAACGACATCCAGATACCTACCAAACGGACATATGTCGTAGGTGTGAGAGGGAACCAGAGACGAACGATCATCTTTGGCGTTGTTCAGCTACCTTGTGCGACCAGCGACAAGAGTGGAGGGACGCGGTGGAGGAAGTGGAGTTGAATGGATATCGTGCATGGAGACAGGCAGTGCGAAAATGGGAACAGGAGAGAGAGGAGGCCGAACGGAAGGACAAGCCCTTCACTGCGACTTGTCCCAACTTCTCGGCAACAGGAACGAAGGCTATCTGGGAGTCAATGCAGTGGATTCAGGGGACGGCGGAAAGGCGAGGGACATATCGGGTTGCGGAAGAAGAGGAGCCGGAGAGTGAGGCAGATTGGGAAGTCAAGGACTTATACCGAGGTTTGGTGCCAACGGGACTCATTGAGACCTGGAAGCAGCTATTTACCACCACCAAGTGGATTGCGACGATCATGGTGACAAAGTTCGTGAGCAGGATCGAAGAGTTTGGCAGGACCAAGATATGGAACAAACGATGCGAGGACACTGTCGCCTGGGAAAAGTCAGTTGGAATCACCTTCATGAGCAAACGCGCCGGAGGACGCAACGGTGATCGGGGACACCAACGTAGTGTTGGTGATTTCTCTGATTTGAAAGGGAGACGGTTACTTGCAGCGGAGATCCAGGAAGGTAGACGGGCCGCGGATTATAGGGTGCTACAGCATTGCTTGGGGCGAGGGAAGTTGGACATAATGGAGGGGTTATTCGGTTTAAAAACAACTTTATTAACATTGGATCTGGATTAGGAGACGTGTATCGCGCAACAGGTCACGCAGGAGTTAGGTTAGGCTAGCTATGCGACATGGGTTATGAATTTGACGCCTCAAGCCAACATAGTTGGTAGGGGATGCGGCTCTGCCGTGCATGGAAGGCATCTATGGCTTCAAGGCCTTTGCGGACCATGCGTCTTGTGCTCATGGGGATTTATGTTAATAAAAAAAAAAAAAAAAAAAAAAAAAAAAGCCTATGTCCACGACAAGCACTCTGTGCACACGTTCTTCAGCAGTGCTGTTGATACGTCCCAGAGGACACATCATATTAAGAAGCTGCATGGTATGCTGCCTACCCTGAATACCATGAAGGCTCGCCACCCGAGTCTATATCCTGACCGTGTCTGCTGCGTCTGCGATGTTCAGGACGAGGACAACCATCACCTGTGGACGTGCAGTGCTACTAGAGATGTCCACAAGGAGATCTGGCGCGAAGGGCTGCAGCAGATTGATAAGTGGGGACGAGCTGCAACGACCGAATACAACAAGAACAGCAAGAAGCAGCAAGAGCGTGATAGGATCCGCGCTGGAGCCGCCGCTGCTGCACCGAAACCCATTCGATGGGTTTGTCCTAACAACGAGACCCACATCCGAGGTCTATCCTGTATCGCCGGGACCCGATCAATGCTCAAAGGCGACGAGTATTATGACCGCTCTCCGGATCTGACCTGGAGCATCAGCGATTTATGCCGTGTCATCACACCTGTCAGCCTTATCAAGGAGTGGGGCAGTCTATTACCTCGCCATCGTCGATTGCGCGCCAGGTCATTCACAAGTTCGTCGGCTTTATTGAGGAGAAAGCTACGGAGCTGATCTGGAAACCACGCTGCAAGGCCACCATTGCTAGAGAGTGAGAATGGGGACCACAGCCAAGACGAAACGAACTCCATACAAGGGACCGAGTGGGGACTGGAGTGATGGGTCTGGATACATTAGCGACGATGACCAATGTCCGTGTGGTGCATTACTCGCTGACCATGTAAACGGGAGCTGCCCTGGCCCCGTGCTTGACCCAGACGCAGCGGATCGGACGCTGCTGGATTGCCTGCAAGGGAGGAGGCGGTTGACAACCATGGAAGGGATGGGGAAGATACCCTTCTTGTAATAAGGTGTTTTCAGCTTTTAACACACTGATGAGGTGTGGCAATTGTTGCGCAGGCCCTAGGGGCAGGCCCGGGGAATGTGACCTGTCTTTTGGCGACTGTGGATCGGTTCCGCTTTGGTGGTGAGGACAGCGATAGTAGATCTTTGCTAGTTAGTCTGATAGATTCGCAGAGTCAATTGACTCGAGAGACAATTTGTTAAAAAAAAAAAAAAAAAAAAAAAAAATTAATTAAGAAAATGCTGCCTTGGCCTCGTGCTCGACCTAGACGCAGCGGATCGGACGCTGCTGGACTGCCTGCAAAGGAGGCGGTTGACAACCATGGAGGGGATGGAGAAAATATCCTTTCTGTAACAAGGAGTTTTCAGCTTTTAACACACCGATAAGGTGTGGCAATTGTTGCGCAGGCCCCAGGGACAGGCCCCGGGGAATGTGACCTTTCTATCTCGTGCTCATGGGGATTTATGTTAATTAAAAAAAAAAAAGGAATGTGGCCTTTCTTTTGGCGACTGTGGATCGGCTCTGCGTTGGTAGAAAGGATGATTGAAGTGAATCATTGCTAGTTAGGTCTGATAGATTCGCAGGGTCAATCGACTCGAGAGACAAATTAAGAAAATAATAATAATGAAAAACCAATCAGTTTAGAATTGGTTTTGCTTGAGTGGAAAGGACGACTGTAATTGATAAGACTCTAACTTAATAAACAAATCCTGCTTAGAAACATTCTGCAAGCGGATTATTGCGGGGAGCCATGAAAGTTGGTATGAAAAAAAATAATTCAGAATTGACTTGTTTTAATGAGATATATGTAGATATTGGATCAAGGGATCAAGGGCTGAGGATTTCAACCAATTTTTCAAGAGCGGTTGCCATGCGAGCGACATTTGTGTCCAGGGACTCGAGCCGCTTTTCCAGCGAAGCCATACTGCTAGAAAAAACCGTAGTGTCCAGAGAACTTGTAGCTTTGGAGACCTCGGAGAGAGCAGCTGTGACAGAAGACGAGGCTGCAGTGGCAATGGCGACGACGGATTCAGCTGCCTGGCCATTGACGACAACTTTTTTATCATCGAAATCGTCATCCTCGATCACGTCCAACGGCTCCTGGAGTTCCAGTTCAGGAAAGTCAGCTTTTTCTACCGCATATTGAATAGATTTCTCCTCGAGATCCGTCCCCCCGTAGATCGGGCATGGTGCATATCCAAGGGATGCTGTCGTCTTTTTGGATCGTCCTGACCCCTCCATCACAAGTACCTTGAATCCATAGACACGTCGACAGCTCAGATCAATCAAAGCCCAAACATCCCATTTGTGGCTGTCAGTTTCCCGTCCAATTCCTAGATTGACCTCCGTCTCGCCGCTCAGCTCAGCCTTGTATACAATCTTGTTCAAGTCCTCGACCCCAAGTCTTGAATCATTAATGCTGACGACATAGTCAGAATCTTCTTCCTCCTTTGTGACACGGGCTACACTCCTGGTGCCGTCAAGGATATCATCGATGTGCAGGAACAGCAAATCCTTCTCGTTCTTGGTGGTCATGTTCTTTCGCGGTCGATGAATGTACTCCTGGACAAAAACGCATTCCTCGCCATCGATATCCTTGAAAGTGATGCGTATGCGGACGGGGTGGTGAAGTGCAACCATGGCCCAGTCCCAGCAGTTCTGCATCAGGGCTGCTTGCTCTGCATTACGGCGGACAATCGCCTCAAAGGGTATATCAGCAGACTGCGTTGGCGCAATCGCGACCGGAAACTTGACATCGTCCAAAGTTAAAGACTCGACATCCTTGTATTCCTTCTCGCCCACGAACCGATATTCGGCCTTACAAGATGCCAAAGTCACATAGGTTTGGCTAGATGGCGGGGCCTTGTTGAAGATGCGGAGCGTGCCCTGGAATTTGTCGGCGTTGTTGCGCACATAGTTGCCCCGTGAGTTGGCTAGCATCCTGCCTTGCGGGATCACCACCAATGGCAACCTGGACTCGGCCTTGAACTCGCGTACTTCGCGTAGGGGTGTAGGCCTCAGGATATGGCCGACATGGCGACTCTCTGGGAGCTTGTATGGCTCAGCGGGCTTATAAAGCTTGAACGTCGCCTTTGATAATGTCTGAACCTCCCCCATGAGGGATACAGTTGTAATGTCGATTGGAACGACCTTAACCGTGGCAGTGTCACTAGTGGCCACTTTGGCGGATAGTTTCACGCCATGAATGACTCCATCATCGTTTAAAGTCCACTCTACCATAGAGTACTGGCTCTTATCCTCGCTTGCCTTGAAGATCAGCGTCTTGCCAGTAGCGCGGACAGCGGCCTCGGCAGCTTTGAGGTCCTCAGCATCAAAGGCTTGAAGATAGTAGGGAGTGTCAAAGTTAATCCGACCAGTATAGATCAGCATCATGGGCTTGGTGATATTTTCGTGCCGCGTGCGCCAGCGGATAAGTTTGCTAACGGTTGCCATTTGAGTCTCGTTCGACAGCATGTCCTTCTCCTTGACCGTGGCCCATTCAGTCGTTGTGTCGGTGAAACCAATAATGGCGTGCGCGTAGTCGTAAAAGTTGGTATAGGGATATTCGCAGTGATGGACCGATCGGTGGTTTGAGAATGTGCAGGGTGCCTTCTTGCCACAGCACGAGTATGTATTGCAGACCTGTGAGGACTTGTGGAATGAGCATGCTTCTGAACCGTTGGCGGATACGCGGTACTCCTTGTCACACTGGACGCAAGTGAGCCGCTGTTCGGATTCTTGCTCGCGCACATCTGCGGCCAAGGCTTTGATGGTTTCTGCAATGGTGTTACTTGAATTCTCCTTGAGCAGTGCCTCAATGCGGGATTGATTCTCCTCCAAGATATCCTCCATGCTCGTCTGCATCTGATCCATGACTTGATCACTCATTTTCAGCTGCATCCTCTTTGCAAATTCCTCGATCAGCTCTGGGCTGTTCTATGAGCATGGTATCAGAAAGCGCAAAGTGAGATTAGACTCCTCGAAATACTCTTCGCGCATTAGAACAATGGCAACAGTTCCTTCTTACATTGATAGCGGCCTGGCCGCCATGGGCTGATACGAATTCTCTGGCCTCTTCATCCTGAGAATCCATGGGAACGGATCTGGAAAGCACAGAGATATCTCCTGTCTGCTGGATCTGCAGGCTGAGCATCAGGTCTTGCGAGCAGGCGCTGATTTTCGTAGCCATTTGAACAAAGCTCTGGTTGTTGGACATTTTGAGTCTTCTGGCAATAGCGCCTTGCTTGCGGTAAGCCTGGATCAGTGAAGCGGCCTGCTTCAGGGTGTCGTTCATCTTTTCGATCACTGCCCTCAGCGGATCGATGACCCTGACCTTTTCAAGGACCGTGATGTTGCTGACCATGAAGTTGATACGTTCCAGTAGATCCTCGCATTTTGCATCTGCGTCTCTGGCGCTTTGCTCTACATCAATGATGATCTGTCAGCAGTAGTTACAGAACAATGTAAGTCGATGTCGCTGTTCATGTTGCAATTTAAAAATTCACGCGAACACGCGTCCATATTAGACACTGCAAGAAGTTATCGCTTTTACCTTCAAGATGACAAAGGCAGGCGCAATGAATGGAACAGCTTTGCCAATGTCTACAAGCTTGTCTGCCAGCTGGATGAGGTGATTCAGGACGGGGTTCTTTTCAATGTTTGCGATAACATCTTGGGTCTTTTGAGAATTTAGGACGTTTTTGGCAACAGCTACTCCCTGATTTAACAACGTAGTGCCAGTCACTGCTGTCACGGCGATGTCCATTCCCTTTTTGTAAGACTTTGCATACGCTGATTCCTCATCTTCGTTGCTCCGCAGCCCGTCGACTTTCTGCCGGACATCTTGGATGCCAGTGCCGATAGATTGGATGATATCCCCACGTTCGCTTCTGACATTGTCGTTGTCGTCTAGGTTTCTGTTGTTGCTAGTGCCATTGCTATCCTGCTGACCAGGGATGGGCGGTAACTTGCGATTCGGAGCTTGTGTTGGGCTAGTGACAGAAGCCGCGCTGCTGCTGCTTCCATTGCTGGCAGTACGGACGGCATGCATATTCTGAGCGTGGGCTATGGCATGAAAGGCAGGACCTGTGGGCAATGGCTGGTACTGTTGATGGTGGTGCATATTTTGAAACTGATTGGGCTGGTGCACATGCGGAGGGGCCCCTGGGAGGAGTCGATTGTTAAAACCTGGGAGCTGTTGATGAGGTTGATTTCCAGGAAACCTGACAGGAGGCACTGGATAGTTGTTGTGTGGGGCTTGACCAGGAACGTGGCGACCTGGAATATGTGGCGACGGCAGAAACGGCTGGGTTTGTTGAAAAGGCCGGTAGTTGAACCTGGGGTCGTTATTGTTGTTGGGACCTGACATTTTAACAGAGGGGCGGGGTGGAGTATGCTGATGGCGATGGAGGAGGTTGGTGGTGGGATGATGTTGATGCGGAGTCACCATTCCTCTTTATATAATGAAGTATTGCGTCTGAGCCCTTTGCCTGTTTGCTTGATTTGGCGCGCACTGGCATGGTTGAGAGCAATTTTGTTGTGGATCTGGTGCGACCAGAGCACCTGCAGCAAGCAGGGCCCAGGCCCAGAAAGCAAGTGCTGCGGCAGCCTTCTTTGCCGTTTTGGACCTTTTGTCGAACCAGACGCTCCATTGCTTACTCCAGTGGCAATGGCCCGACGGTGCAGAGCGGAGTGCCTGGCTACTTGGCGCTGACAGCGGCATTCTGCTCCCGGCACAGCCAGACCAACACGACCTATTAAGGTTGCTGTGCATGCATGTCTTTATGTTTCATCTCTTGCCGCGCTTGTTTGTCGCCTTAACCTTAGGAGGCGAAGTTGGACCTTAATCCAAAGCGCAGTCCATAGCTGCTATTGCTGTGGCGGCTGCACTCACTTGCACAACGACTTGCTGGCTATCACCACTACCTACACCTCTACTACCGCTAGCAAATACTATCATGCTATCGAAGAAAGCACGACTTGGCCGAAGCCCGATATTCAATTATGCTAGGTTTTTTTTTTTTTAAAAAAAAGAGCACCTCTACTGCTCTCACAAGGCGTTGATCTCACAACCGTCAGCACGTATACCTAGTAACTCATTTCTATAGACCCTCGTTACTGCTCACGAATGGCGGAGATGCTAACAAGGCATAATCCATCCTTCGTCAAGGCTGTGAACAAGAACACATATCTTATGTCTACCCCTCTTCTTTTCTCTCTCTCCTCCTTTGTGCTTACTTCAAGTTGCTTCAGTCCCGCCTTACGCTGAAGAATTCGCCATCCGCTTCCTTCTTTGTCTAAAATCACACCACATGCATGTTTCTTTACCTCAAACTGCTGACTCAGAAAACCTACAGCAGAATATCCCTATGCAGCCGTTTCCAACGACCACACATACTACACACACCGGCGACGGTACCTTTCTCTTGGAGCGCCTGTCCGCATCAAAGAGAGCTGTTCGAGCAGCATCCTTCTTGATAACTTTGGATGACTACAACCTAATATCGCTCGGATACAAACCCGTATGGGCTGTTACAAGAAAAAGAAAACATCATGAGTGCCTGTTCTCGTGCTGAATCATGATGCAATGATTCTAACAGCCTCGTGCTTTACCTTGATCATAGGTCATGTCAAGGAGTCTGTCGCCATTGACACTTATAGGGATAACTCTCACAGCCTCCAATGTCCTATGTGGAGTGACAGCACTCTATGCACTACCACTCACAAATGGAGGGCCCGCATGGGCCATATGGAGCTATCTCATTGTGGGGATCATGTCCTGCATTGTCAGCTTGTGTTTAGCAGAGCTGGCAGCTGCATATCCAACAGTCGCTGGAGTGCATCATTGGGTATATCGGCTAGCCTCCTCGCATCAGAGGCGGTTCTTGACCTGGATGACAGGATGGCTAGCGATAGCAGGCGCGGTAAAGATCAACGGTTGGGTGGTTAAATAACGCTTCTTTCAATGTAATGCCTATATCATCTGACTTGTGGATAACACGCCGCCGCTTCATACATTTTACAGATCGCATCGGCATCCTCGATCGCGTTTTGTTTTTCGTCTATGCTTGGACAAGTCCTATCGCTGACCTACAGAATTGAACCGACTCCCGGAATGCTTGTCATGTTCCATCTCGGAGCAGTGCTCTCTTGGCAAGGCTTCAATCTGCTTTCTGTCCGAGGGTTTGGCTTCGTCTCAGCTTTCTCTGGTAAAAAAAAAGAAGTACGATATTCGAAACTCTACTTAATACCTGTTGTCTAATATTTCCTATTTGTCCCTTTCAACTCATTCTATACCTAAAAAAATTACATAGGAATATATAATTTGGGAGCGACAGTAGCCCTCATAATCATCCTTTTGACCATCCCGCCACTCGTCGACGCTTCCATGATCCGCGTCTCCTTTACTGCCTTTTTGAACTATTCTGGAAGCACGAGTGCAATCTATGCTAGACTCAGCAGTGCCTTGATGGCGTCATTTGTCTTTTGTCCACAGGATACAATTATCCGTATGGTATGAACCACACATTCTAACATGTCATAGCGTCTTAGTGTACCTCAGCGCCACCTAACAAACCTCATTCTTCAGGCGGAGGAGACTCGACGTCCAGAGCGCATCATCCCCAAATTGATCATAGGCTCAAATGCAATAAGTTTGGTCCTGGGATCCCTCTTGATTATCGGACTCAACTACGGGGTCATCCATCCCATGAAAGGTTTGCTAGAAGCTATTCCTGCGGTCAGAGTACTTTTGGTGAGTATGCTGCATTCTATGTCGACGCGCTTATTATCTTGAAACCTAAAAATTGAACATCGAGCTGGCTGGCTTTTTTTTTGTTTTTTTTTTTGGCAGGTAGCACTCGGTAGACATCTTGGGATTATCTTTGTATCCATGACTTTAGTTGGCATCTTCTTCACTGGTTTGACCCGTCTCACCCTGGCGACACGCGTTGCTTATGCTTTCTCCAGAGACGCAGGGCTTCCCAAGTCGTCGTACTGGAACCATTTACACGGAAGACGAAAGACACCGCAACGCGTCTCCTGGGTAGTTGCAGTAGCCTGCATGGCCGGTATTTTCCCATTCTATTGGGGAGACATTGACGCCTTCCATTGGATCGCCAGTATTGCATGCGTTACGACGAATTTGAGTTTTGGTAATTCTTGCTCATCATGACTAAAACTGCTCTTGAACTAACATCCTTGGAGCTTGAAATTGGCATAGGCTAACATGCCTTCCTCTCTTCTTCATTAAGTGGTACCGCTGTGGATTATGCTGACACGAGAGGGAGCCCTGAATCATATCGCAGGTGCCTTCACCCTCGGTCCACTATCCAGGCTCATCTACACCATATCCATTCTATGGCTCCTCTTCCTTTCGACCATTTTATTGTTTCCAATGACGTTTCCTTTAACGCGAGGAAATTTCAACTACGCCCCTGCAGCCATCCTGTGCATCATCATATTTGCAGCGCTCTCATGGTCCAAGGCGAAGTACGGCTTCACCGGGACAGCCAAAGATCATAGCGGGGCCTCGCATCGTATCTCCTCGCCCTTGCACTATCGCTCATGTACTACACCTTCTATTCCGAGAATTCGCGTCGCGCCTTTGTACCATTCTTCCACATCAAAACACCAGATCCCACTAGGTCCACAACCACTTCATTCTTTCTCGCATCTACGAACGGAGTCGGACATTGATGGAATATCCTTCACCTCTAAACCCTCCTTTACTTACTCGAGAGGGCGCACAGGACCCTCAACTTCAGACAAGATCCAGGAACCGCAACGTGCACAGAGCGACCGTAGTCTGTCGCGGTCGCTTGGCACAATGATAGATTCGAGAAGTCAGAGCCAGGGACGGGATATGGGTCATAGGCACCACCGGGATACAAGTGGGCAGCAGTCAGAACGAATCAAAGACTCTGCTTTAACGATAACAACGCAGACATCAAAACAGATCCGAGCTCAATCTACATTAGGAATCCCACTGTTCAGATCCCCCGAGATGGTCCTTGGTGATATAAGAACAGTAAGGTCATTATCGACACCCTCATCGCACAGCTTCTATCAATCTATGGGGTTTGTGGGTGGAGATGGATCGCAACTACAAAGTGTGCGAGCATCGTCCGAATTTGAGTTGACAGGGCCAGTGCTTGGGAAGAACGTGGTTCCGCCTACTACAGTCAGTTCACGCAACAGCCAATTATTCCTTGCAACCACGGATTCAAAGAAGGACGTTGTCTTGACTCAAAGCATAGGCGAAACCCAACGAGTGGGGCGATATAGTGGGCTAAAGGAATCTTCGCCGTCGACGCGACCACCTAATGCCACCGAGAGTATTTTCCCTGGACTTACCCATACCACCATCGGTAGCAACAGCAGTGGCGAAAGCAGGTATGCCATAGGAACAAAACTGGAGCACAACGTGGAAAGTTATTTCAATATTCTCAAAAACCACAGAGCGAGATCGCCGTTGTCATCCCCAGAAACCATTGTCGGAAGCGCAGTATCTGCTTCAAAGGATGTTGAAACCGAGGTTCAGGATACGACAATCGACCATTCAATATGATCCCCACTAAAGCGTTGTTATGCCACTTATCCAAACCTACATAGCACTCAGACCTCCGAAGATAGGCGCGTTAATGACTGTGACGGTATTTGCACCATTCAGGTCATAAACTTTGCTGACCTCCCCATATGTTTCCCTATAATTGAATAAGAGTGATATATTTTAGAATAGATAAAATAGGGAGGTCGGCCATATCCTGACTTTGTTGAATACGACCATATTATGCATCCATTCGCACAACACATACCATGGACCATAACTCTATTTCCACCAATAGACCAAGAGACAACGGAGAAGGGTCTTCCATAAGTGCCTCTTTCTCCTCTTTCTCTGCCAATGGAGTCGACATTGCACATGCTGGTCAAGGTGATGGTATGCTCTGACATTAACCAGCTGAAACGCTACTCATCACACCGACCGACACACCAACTTACTATTCCTTCTTCGTATATTCATGTATATAGCTGCTGCCGCTTCGTACCAGGCTTTCAAAGGCTCAGTAGACACGCCAGACTACACCTATGCATATAGCGATATACTCGAGGGGTCGTCTGGCAATATCTATGTAGAACGCGACGACCCGACGTTTGCTGAACGCGTTGATCAAGAAGACGACACGGACGACAATACGACAGATGAGGATACAGACTACGGCTTAGACGACGTCGATGGCACCAGTGCTGCAATGAGTGACGAGGAGGAGTGTCGGGAACAACTGCTGGATAGGCGTAGAAAGAGAAAGGCGAAACAAGCACCAGGGAAGGCGCGACCTGCTCGCAGGAGGGCAACAATGGAATCCGGCGACAAAACTGCACAGCAACTGTCCACATTCACTTCCAAGGCCTCCGTCCAGTAATACTCCTCCTCTACCCCCAAGGTCTTCAGCACAATCAGCTCCTTCAAGACCATTATAGCCAAGCAGCACAGGTTGATTTTTTTGCTTTTCACCCTCGAGTTCGCGTATTGCCTTCTCGATGGTCTTACTGGGAGGTCCTGCCGTGATCGAGTGCTGCTTTTTGTCTTCCCCTCCAATTTGAGCCCGCGTCCTTGCTGCTTTTTGGCTTCATGGAATGCTTGGTACTCATCCTGCTATATAGGGGGTCTAGCAACGAGCTTTGTAACTTCTACTATTAGTTCTATTTACAACAGGAGACGCCGCACTATTAGGACTTCGGCGAGGGCGTGCTTCGGTCATTTACTGGTTCGCAGTGCGAGGTCCTCCTTTAGATCGGAATGTATTAACACAGAGGTAAAACAGACTAGACAGAGATAGAAGGAAATAAATATAGGGAGTTGTTTGGCTAAATAGTTCGAACTAGTATATGTTTCATTGAGAATGACAGGGGGTAGTTGCAAGATATTCACATATATGATGTCCGATGAAGTGAGAAATCGTGACAATGAAGTCCACCCCTCTGGAGCCGTTGTATGGCAATGTTCGCTGATCAGGCCTTCATTGTACCTTTATAATGCCGTTTCACGAGGGTAAGCCGATGACGGATGCTCAACAATGAGACGATCAGAGAGCGGGGAAACGTTGCAATTGATAGTGCAAAAGTGGCGAATGATCAGGCTTGGCATTCTCTGTTGATTGCATCTCGTTGCGTGGGTTGCTGACGACGGCAGTCAGTACCTGTCGATGATGCGGTGTTATCCGGACAATCTGGACGAATGCATACAAGATATATGTGAAGAAGACTCTGGTTCAGGAACCAGACCGTTTATTCTTTTATCCTGGAGTGATGCTCTTCCCCGTAATTTAATAGCAAAAGTTCTCATAGGCTTTAGTCCTTTGAAGGTTGACCGCGCTACTTGACTGATTTCCCTATCCTCCATTGCATCCCTAGCGACCTATCTGGATTTGCGTCTGCCTCGCGTACGCTGGAAATAGCGATGATGGCGATGTGAGTGGGCATCTGCGTCAGGCCGCGGCAAAGCTACTTGTATAACACTGATCGTCAAGCGACCAGCATCTATCAGTGTGATGGTTCTTTATCAAAGCCTTTTGTTATTGTGGTAATGCCTTTTTTTACTGTGGAAATCTTTGTTATTGTGGGAAAGCAGACATTGCTTCTCGCCTATAAGTGTTCTGCCATACACTTCGCAGCTCTCTTCTTTCATCATCCTTTCTCCTCATTGCCCTTTGCCCACAGTTCGCTATCCATATACACCTTCACGCTAGATACTATACGCCTGTAGAAAAGGTAATGTACCCTCCAAGCCTATCCTTCCATATCTTCAGCGTCCTTACGAGAGGGTTTCGCTAACACTGCTACCCACCATAGTGACCACAGCATGGGCGTAAGAGGCCTTTACAGTACTCTGAAGAAGCGCAGTTTGGATCCAGTTGCCGCGGATCCTCAAGATTACCAAAACCAAGCTGTTGAAGTTGACCTCTTCGGCGCGTTTTATGGATCCCTCGTCCGCCAGATCACGGATGATTACGACCCAAGCAAGGTCCGAACTGTCGGTCTCGCGATGGCAGCGCGTTTGGCGAAGGACTTTACCCCTGCGCAACGTACGATTCACATCGATGGCGCCCATCCCAGCAGAAGCGGAACGAGCACATCAGGCGAAAGAACAGACTGACAGCGGACCTCAAGAAGTTGCAGACGAACCTGAAAGTCACGAGCACGAAGTCGTCGAACGGCCAATGGACCTCGAAGAGCGTGGTAGCGAAGATCAAGAAGGGCCTCCACGATGTATACAGATTTGATGCAGCAGCCAAGCAGACACTCCGGGATGCCTTACGAGAAAAGGGGTTTCTGTCTGCACTTGCAAGACCGAGGCCGACACCTGCATTGCACGCACACTGACCATGGCAGCCGGTAGCTTCGCGGTGTCAGCAGATTCCGATCTGTTGATATATCCGTCGGTCACTAAGGGTTTGCGGCCAATCTTCCATGGTCTGGCCTATGCGTTGTACACCAAGGAGAGTGTTACCAATGCACTTCACGTTCCCAGTGCAGACTATGTGACGTTGCTGGGCATCGTGTCCAAGAACGACTATACCGAGAACATTCCCGGTCTTGGAATAGTTCGCAACCTAGAGATCATTCGCGCTCTTCGCCTGTCGCCCGACATCCGCCATATGCTCGATGGTTACAGATTCATGGCAGCCATCAAATCCCACGAGGTTATCGACCAGAGCCGATTCAAGCCATCGGAAGACATCTTTTTGGATCTCGAGGAGAAAGTGCTCCAACTGCAGCCAGGAGATGAGGTCGCCGATGAGGACATGCTCGGCTTTGGTTTCAACATTGCAGCACCGCAGTTCTGGCACCTCAAGCTGCAACGATTTGCCGTCGCTGCATATCAGCATGCGAGTAGAAGGTAATTTAGGTGCGACGCCACTTCATTCACGCACGTGTTGTACAGACAACAAGTTCTCTAACACCTTTTGCATGGCGATGTATGCGTGTATTTACGTGCGGTTCCCTTCTACGTTGCGAGGAACTCAAAGCGGAACCAGTTCCGTCCGATCTTTCCAGACAAGAAATCGTTCCTACCACGAAAATCGATTGACTTCTCGACTGCCGTACCTCACGGTCGCCCACAGCCAAAAGCAAAGCCCCCCGTCAAGACTCGGAAGGTGGTCGTGAAGAAGAAGAACAAGAAAAAGAGGAAGAAGGGGGCACTGCCGAGGAAACGGAAAGGGGTGGGCTCCGCCGACCCATCGAACCCACGGCCCACTTCTGCAACTGCAGCGGACCGCCGCCTCCGCAAGCTGCATATAACCAAGGCACTCACTGTGGGGAGTATCCAGGCCAACGTAAAGCGAATGAATCAGATCTCGGTTGCAGAAAGCAAGCTCCTTTCAGACAGGCTACATTCAACGGTTGCGATCCTTAATGCGATCCAAATGCATATGTACGAGGCCATTGCACTGGATATTGCGCGGCTTGTTCGTTCTAAAGACACAGCGACAGATGTGACACAGCGGAAGGAGGATATTGCAGACATTCTCGACAGCAAGGCCTTCTACTTTGCACTCAACACACTCTTGTGCAGTGGTCAAGAAGGACGAGGTTCTCAGGCTGTTCGAGTATCAGTTGCCCCTGCGCGCAAGATGAGCACTCGAAATACGCCATTGGTCCCTGCTGTCCCGCAACCGTAAGCACAGGTACAGGCACAACCACAACCAACAGCCACTCATGCTCGACGTGTCTTTGATGCGTACACGACGCTCACCGGCTTTGTCCCCTTTCGCCAACGATAACCAGAGATGTTCCCTTCGACGGTCTCGAGGCTTGCTGTTGCGGCAGTCTACAATGCAGTGCGAGTCCATTACTATGGCGCAAAGGTATATTAAAGAGTGTGCAAGATGTAGCCGTTGTGTTCCTTGCTTTTCGGAGCACTAGTGTTGACCATTAGCTCTTCAACTTTCTTTAATAGTTTTCCGAGAACGAAGAGCGCCCTGAATCTGTCAATCCGATCGACTACTTCTTCGAAAAGAATACCGAGAAGCGCATGTTTGCAGACTTTGTCAAGGCAAAGTTTGCAGCTGGCTTCGTGTTCTTGTCAGAGGCGGACCTTGTCCATTTATTCTATACAAGCAATACAACACGGCCGATTATAGTCCAAATGCTGAGCGATGCAACATCCAACGCTGCGGAAGCCAAGGTCGTCGGCAAGAAAGGGATTCTCATCGAGAAGCTGCTATACAGACTGGACCCGGCGACGCGCTTTAACGGGTATTACAGGAAGGTTTCGCTTCAGAGTGACAGACAGTACCACACAAGGTTCAAGCTTCGGGGCCTCATCTGCACGAACGGACTGGTGTTGCATTTTCTTGCGCATGACACAACGACAACGCGACGCCAAGCACCCCGCCAAAGCATCAGGGCCGATGACGATGATGAAGGAGAACACGACGACGACGAGGATTTGACCCTGTTCCACGATGTTGACGGTGACTATGACCTCGACGACGCGTTTCTTGAAAGTGGAGGGGACGAATCTGGTACAGATCCGGTCGCAGCTGCGGCAGGGCCCGCCAAGAAGAAACGCATCACGCTCCCGTCTTCGACGCCAGAAAGTTCAAAGCGGCAGAGGCTGTCGATACACCAACTGCCACCCACAGACCCTACTGCGACTGCTTCGTCCTCATCCAGCTCAGAAGCCCCATCCGGTTCAACGTCAGGCGCGGATACGATCGATGTCACACGCAACACCATCAACTGGAAGCGAAGTTCAAAGATTCTGGAAAACGTGGAGGTGCGCTTCAACTCTCCTGGTACTTGTCCACCAGGCGATACTGTGATAATCGGCATTGACCCGGGTGAGGTTTACACAATGACGGCGACAAGAATCGACCCCGCCTTACCTACGAAAAGAGAGTCTTTACGGATTCGCAGGGCATTCCTCTACAGGCCTTACATGCTCTTCAAGCGTCTCCTAGAAAAGCAGAAGGCCGCGGCACGCATTGATGTTCTTGAGGCAAGACTGCCCTCATTTACCGTGGAGAAGATCGAGGAATATCCGGCGTATCTGGAGGCGCCTGGCACGGACGGCACCGCCGCGACCGCCACGAGAGTCCGCTTTTTAACTTTTACAACAGTCAATGGATGCTAAGGAAGCGCTGGAATCTTCAAAAGGCTCAACAGGCAACGTATGACTACGCAGTTGCGGCCTTGCTTGACCTTGCCGTTAGCAAGGACTTTGTTGGTCAGTCGCTGAGCTCACAGGACGGTGCAAAAGTGGTGTTTGCGATAGGATTGGGCTCTTTTGATTCGCAAACTGGCAAGCTAAGAAAAAAAAAAAAAGTGTGGCATACCATCTCTCATCCGCACTGCAACTTTTTCTCATCTGTTTATTTGTTCCTTGATGCTGCTGATAGGCAAAGGCTATGGGACACACTGTGGTCGGGGTGCACGAGTACTACACCAGTGCTCGGTGCCCTCGTAACCAGTGTATGGCGTCCTTGGAGTCCGACAAGAGGCGGTCAAAGTACTGCCGAAGCTGTCAAATGTACTTTGATCGCGATATTGTCGGCTCTAAGAACATTGCCACCGTGTGTCTGTCGCAAATCCAGAACCAGTGCCGGCCTGCCAAGTTCATGCCATCAACATAATCATAGGGGGTCGGAACCCTCTTTCAAAATTTGTACAAAAAATAGCGTGCATGAACACCCAACCCATTCTGGGTGATTTCTGGTAGACAGATACCGTAATGTAGATACGGCTACCACCCAGCAAGGGAGTGAAGGCGCTTAAGATGATTGAGCGGAAAGTCGATGACTCCTTCAGGGGTGAATACCTTCGTCAATACCCTGTCACCTCTGTGCTCCAGCCCACACAGGAGTTCTTCAGCCTCACTGCATCTGTCGCACAGGATACACAGTCAACATTGTCAGCACCCACAAAACGCAACGGAGCTTCCAGCGTCCACGCATCGAGCTCCAATCCTGTGCAAGCCGGAGCTGCAGAGCTCTCGCCGCAACCACATAACGACAAGAAAAGCATCAAGGACGACACAGTCACTCGATGGGCCAAAGAGCAGGGCAGAATCCACGAGTGGCGGATTGAAATGAAACGCGATCATGCCTTACGAGAACTACGAGAGGAGCATGCGTCGACAGATGGCGGTGATCCAACTTTGCGGGCAAATCAGGTTGACTTGAGCGCAAAGGGACCGAAGTCTGGGCGAGAGTTAGCCTCGACAGAACGGTCAACCACAGTACTTATACAGACCCTTCTTGGGGATCAAGTGTCGCAGCCTGAGCGCGAATTATGGGGTTCCCTGAATGATGGACTTTTACCGGAGATGACAGAGACTTTTGGCGCAGGAATAGAAAGCAAGTGAATAAAGGCATTGTTTTTGTCGCTGCACCGGGGATGAGCGAATAAAGTTTATTGGATATCGTGGTTGGCAGAAACGATCACCGAGTATTGACTACCAGCGCCATCGCTATCATCCCTACGCCTACAACTAGAATTGCGGCGACCTTGAGCTCCAACAGCCTCCTTCCGCACAAATGGAATAAACTTCCATGTTGATCCTCGACTGAGCTATGATCGTCGATATAGTAGGACGACGATGCTGATGCGGCGCCGTGTATATACATTGAACTGATGCCCAGTCGGCGCCCTAGCTTTGAAGACTGTCTCTGTTCTGAGTCACTCAGAAACATCAGGGCACTCAACCAGACATCCTGCAGTTGCTCCGAAAGCGAATCTATTTTCTCCTGATGTTGCCCATTTTTCTCCAAGAGTTGGTGGACTTCGTGTGGGTCCAAGGGTTCCTGTGTCAGGAGATTGTTGAGGTGTCGACTTCTTAGAATGTGGATCATATTCCCATGCTCCAGCTCTGTGGGATCCTATGATGCAGGCCATTGTATTGCAAAGAAATCGAGTCAAATAATCAGCTTGGGCGTTTCAACTCTTGCGAATGCAATCCGTGCAATTGTCTATCCCATTCGTTTGATTACCTGATATACATCCAATATCAGCTGCGCTCTTTCCTGAAAATGGGTTTGCACACTCCAAAACGCGGTAATTGTATCCTTCAGTTCATTCGCAACCTTGATTCGACGCCTTGTCAACTGAGCTGTTTCCGGCTCCGATGGTATCTTGTAGATCCTCGGCCAAGAGTCCATGACAAGATCTCTGAATGACTGAGCGATGCAGAGTTGATTCTCTTCCAGATCGACGACTTTTTCTTTTCCTTTCATCCGTCTCCTGCCCTCGACTGGCGAAGTTGGCATTCTGGTCAATATAGGTGAGAGGACGAAGATAGGCCTTGACCCTGATGGATGGAGCGTCATGGCTTCAAGGATCTGCTCGTTAAGTTGTTCTAGCTGTTCTGTGTATCTGAATAGTTCGCGGAAGACAAGGTTGAAATGATCCAGATCAGGAAAGGCTGTTGAGGATGACAGGCCCTCAGCTTGCAGGGACAGGGTATTCGCAGAATATTGTGTTTGCTGATGCAGCTGTAGGTTGTGCTGAGAGGCTTTTAGTAATACCCGTCGTCGGGGTGCACTGATGGATGTCGGTGTTAGCGAAGCAGAGAAGATCGACGCGTCTGAAGAAGTAGTTCCTGTTACTGTCGCCACATGTTGGAAGGGCATCATATCCTCGAAGTCATTTGTCAGGGATGGCTTTAAGGTATCCAGCTTCACGCTTGCGTGGTCTTTGGCGGTATGAGAGGACAATTTTGAGTTAATGGACGGGCCTATTGAGGGTATAGTCGCCCTAGGATGTCGCTCCACATGTCTTGTTACCGAAGTCTCAAACTCGGTATCTTCCAGGCGGGCGGTGGCCAGGATCTGTGATCGAATTCCAGCGATACTGTGGAGATCTGCAGATTCTTTACAGTCCTTCTTCACGACAGCGATAAGGGTGCGCCCTTTCTGCTGTAGCTGCTGGTTCTTTTTATCACCCAATGTATTTTCCGGAGTATACGTGGTAGCAATCACAGTAGCAATAGTTGCATTGTTTCTACCCCTCAGCTCCTCCTTGGCATTGGAGCCAGAAAAGATCGTAGGGACTTGAGTAGTCTCTGCTACTTCTTGAGTTATACACAGGTCCATTTCTTCAGAAGGAGTGGGGCGACTGGATGTGGTGTTACTAGACGGGACGTGGGAGTTCATGTCTGTGCACTGCGTGAAGCTATTCAAGACGCAGGGGGATAAGGAAACGCCTTGACGATTAGTAACACTGAGGCTGTTTTAGTCGAGGCCAAGGACGTGTATGGTGTCGAACGCGGACCTAGGACAGCGATTTTGACCTTGCCCAGGTCCGGTAATAGTGAGGGTGTAGGAAACGTGGGACTATATTGAAATGTACCGTGGATCGGGCCTGAGGGTTCTCGATTTCAGGGTAACTGAATTAGTTGAATAAGAGGATATAGAGATACAGTGCAAACAAGAGAGCCGATGGACACTCATTCCACAAGCACTTCATCTGAATCTGGTCGCATGAGCACTGGTACGATTCTCATTTCGAATGAAGAAACGAATACTGATCTGAACCAACACCTGGCACTTGGGCCAATAAAAAATAAGGGGGTCAGGATTATTGCTGCACTCAGGCAGGGTAGCAGCTCAGCACTTATCTCTGCCAAGAACTCGTCATCGATCTCTGGAAGTCCTCCGCGCCACAAGAAAGCAATTGAGCAAAGAGCACTGAACCACTCAGGTATGTCTATTATAGATGGGCATTCTTCCATTTGCCTACAAGGCGTTGCAGCAAGTACATACATTCTGCTGGTTACACCCGTAGTTTACGCGTTTTGCTTGGACCGTGCACCTCCGACAATGTACTTGCGGTCGCTTCGTATCATCCCATTCAATCGGAAACAGAAAAAAGAAAGAAAGCGAAAGCACTTTGGCTTTTATAAGCACATCCACTGGCATGGATGCACCTTAGTCGAGGCCAAAATGGAACCGCTTTTATCAAAGAATGCGCGTTTTATTCCATTAAACGCTGGGTTATTTTTTTTTAATTTTATTTCCTCCTACTCTTCCAGTTCTATCGCGAAATATAATATCTATTCCAGATAGAGGACGCATCAGTGTAATTCGAGGCTGTGGTCCTGAGCCCCAGACGTTCTGCCTCCTCCTTATCTTTTCGAGAGACAGGATATGTACCATTGTTGGTTTATTGGAGATGCCAGAGATGCCAGAGATACTTCTGTAGGTAAAAATAGAAGAGACCCAGGTTGAACGGGACGGCTCCAAGGGTCACCATCTGTCGTCGTCTAGAAAGTGGAACTGAGAATCTAGCCTGTAGAATAACAGGGACAGCGCGTGCTTTTCGGGCGTGATGAGGTGCAGTACACTCCCGCACGGCATGGCACGGAACACCGCACAGCAGCCAGCAGGTTTCTTGTGGTCCTGCTTTGATATCGCTCCTGACTGGCATCCGGAACCATCCTCGATCAGCCTGTCCTGTCGCCACTCGGTCCCTTGCCGCCGCCACGTCTTTCTCAGCCCAGATGAACAGATAAATAGGCCATATCCCAGCCTGACCAAACCAACATCATCTTCAGTCCTCTCCCTTTCTCTCGAGCACCCAGCTGTCTTCCTATCCAATACCGCACAACACATCCCAGCAAGCGCCCACACTAACAAATCTAAACCAATGAAGTTCTCCACCTGTGCCCTCTTGATCTCGGCCGCAATCGCCACCGTCGCATCCGCCGCGCCTATGGCTGCTCGAGTGCCTACGCACACAGGCACGAGGACAAAGGCGAATATCGGGTCGTCCTCTGTTATCGCTAAGCGCCATTGCGGCGAGTGCAGCCACAAGGACCAAGAAGCCCTGGATCTCATTATCGACGTGTCAGCGAAGCATTATGCCAATATTGCTCAAACTCGCCTCGACGACCTGGTGCGCGACCTGACGACTTCCAGGGTCACCAGCAGCACGAAGGGGCTGGGCAAGAAGAAGTCCGTCCTGGACACTACGATCCAGTCCAATATCGAGAAGGCTAAGGAGGATTGCTCGTCCGAGGCGCTTGCTCGTGTGATCAAGACGACTGTCACATCCGATGCCGACATGGACATTCCGTGGTCCAAGGAAGAGGAGGTTGAGAAGATAATGATGGAGCTGGATAGCAAGATCACTCAGGTGATGCTTGAGCATATCCAGACCAACATCAATGCCGAGGATCTGTCCAAGGACTGCACAGAGAAGATGACCAATACAGAGATTGCGCCAGCGCCTGCCAAGGAGGAGTTTTCCGTAGATTCATCCCCATCTATGTCTGAGGCGCCAGCCGCCGAAGCGCCGGCCCCCGAAGTATCAACCTCCAACACTCGCGCTCCTGAAGCTGAGGCTTCCGCTTATATGCCTGAGGCTCCTGCTGCTGAACTTGAGGCCCCTGCTTCCATGCCCGAGGTCCCCGCTGCTGAGCCTGAAGCTCCTGCCTCTATCCCTGCGACCACTGCTCCCATGCCCGAGACATCTGCTCCTGCTCCACAGGAAACAACTGAGTCTACCGATGGCAAGAACGAACCCAAGATGAACATTAACAATGCGAACACGATCGACCCCAAGTTTGTGTGCAAGTCCGGATGCAAGGACTTGGATGATGCCAAGGCGGTACTGAACCTGCGAAAGAACCTCGAGGAGGAGTTTGCACCAGTCCTGGACAACTTTTACAAGTACAAAGTGCTTACCGACTGCTCGAGAAGACGTGGCGAGTTCTTCATTGGTATCAGGGCCTTGCACAGACATTAAAGGTCGATGTCAATGCCAATGTGAAGACCAAGACTAATGCTTAAATCTACTATGAATCTCTGTGAGAACGAGCGCAATATAGTCTCAAACGATATCTTGTAAGATATAATGCCCACTGTACTATAATAAAGGGCGAAAACCAAAGTATACAAACCAGGAGCTGAAAAGGACGCGTTTTATCAACTAGCATAGATGCAGAACGGGGCTTGCCTTCCTTTATGTGGTCATTTTTCCAGAGACAAGTTCGCGTCGCCTGCCTGCCCTTAAATGGATGTAATACACGAAGAAGCCTCGCTTCCTTTCATACCATCCCGCCATTGCATCTCCCTCTCGCTTCCATCCTTCTGATTCGCTTGTGGGATCCCCTGCCTAGCCTTATCTTCATGTTCCTGCACAACCCGGTCTGATCCATCCATTCATCCCTTTCAGCCTACGATAAGCAACTCAGCCCTGCACTTCCAGGACCTTCCATCCTACCAACGCACAGCAGCTCTCTCCTTTGAACACCCTCCAGTACCTTGACACCACGTTTCACTCTGCTGCATACATCCCTCTATGACCGACCATGGCATCTCCTCCTCGCCTAGGCCGCCATCCCCGAGCGTGGTGGCCTCATCTCCCAAACATAGCTCCCTCCCCAAGAACGTTGTCGTTGGCGTAAGCCAGCTTCGGTCGCCATCCCCTTCACCAAGCGCACCCCCGCCCCAAGCCTGGGGAGGATCTAATAGCAAGAACCGAGGCAAGTACTTGATGTTTTTCAGCTTCGAGCTGCCAGGACACACAGCTTGATGCATGCACATTCAGAGGAGCTGCTGCTTTTGACGTCCGCCCTGTGCATCTTTTGTGTTTGCCGATAAGACTAGGAGAAATAACCGAATACCTGTCTTTGCATTTTATTCTACGTGGATACTAGAATTGAACAGCGACCCCCGCTACAAGAAATATATCCAGCTTGTGGAGAGAAACTTGCAGTCGTTCGACAGTGTGAACGAATGGGCGGATGTAAATCCGTTCTTGCTGAAGATCATGCGGGTAAGCGTTTGGCTGTTTGGTAAAGCGACGATACATAACATCCGACCAGTGATTGCAGTTGCTAACACTTCGTGGATCTCTCCTTTGGCTGTTCTGTTGTATCCCCGAATCGGTCAGTCCTTCCAAGCATATCCACAGTACACTGTCATTCCTCGAAGCCTTACTGTGGCAAAGCGGTTGGCGCAGTGCTTGAATCCAGCACTACCGGCAGGCGTTCATGGGAAAACACTGGAGGTCTATGCCTACATTCTCGAGACAATTGGCGTATGATACAAAAAACAACTGCGGTATTGAAATGAGAGAACAATGATACGGATCGGTAGTACGGATGTCTCACGAGTTGCTTGGTCTTGTTCTTCAACGTGCAGCCCGATCAATTAGCGGAGGACATCACACTTTGGTCCTACGGCTTATTTCCCTTCCTTCAATACGCAGCTTTATCCGTTAAGGTAGTGGATGACAACGGACCCCTAGTGGCACTATTTGATAGATCGATGGAGCTTGACAGAAAATGGTTCTTTATTCGCGTATTAACCAGCCGATTATGATCCCACTTTTGTATCCATCATATTTATAGCCCCAATTGCTCGACATATATGAAAAGTATTATTTGCCGCTGAAAGATCGACTCAAGCCCTGTTTGAAGAGCTTTATGATCGGATTGCTTCCAGGATTGGACGAGGAAGGCAGCGAGTTCTTTGACAGAGTCCTTAACATCATGGATAATCTGCGCAAAGCTGTGGATGAGACGTTTTTCTTCCAATGCATGTGGTTGATTTTGATCACATCTTCGCCACACCGTGGTCCCGCCCTCCATTATCTGGGCAGAAGAATGCCTCTCCTCACTAACACGGAAGGTGCGTACATCAAAGATCTTTTTCGACGGCTGTTACGTACTCTATTACGATCCATATTTCTATTCTTTGCTAATGGTTGTATTTTCCTTTGATGATTCTAGATGTCGCATTTGTGCTGGGCGATGATGCTGGACTCATGGTTAGAGCTTTCTCAGCGACTGTGGGGGACTCTCAGCTTCTTGTCCAGCGTGCTATGCTGGACCTCCTAGTGGTCCACTTCCCTATCAGTAACGGGTTAGTAGCTTGGAGTGGTCTAAAGAACATGTGCATGGGCTATTTTCAGCATTGATTCTACTATTGACATCTTCTTCTAGGCTGATAGAGGACAACGATCTCAAAGTCCTTGTCAAGGCAGCGGTCGGTGTGGTGCTGCGCAAGGATATGTCATTGAATCGGAGACTATATGCGTGGCTACTAGGTATGGCCTGGAGAACTGAGGGCGATCAATCAATTACGATGTCGTGAATGGATCGTGGCTAACGACTCGTGGCTTCATCGTTGCTTCTCTAGGGGCACAGGAAGGAAAGAGAAAGGTGTTCGATGGGCCGGCCAAGACTGCTCTGATTGTTGGACTTCAGGTACTGGGCTTTGCCCCATGCGGATACGCCTTTGACGTCATATTTAGTGCGTGAATCTTACATGCATCGTCGTATTCATCTCTCTAGAGCATATTACTATCGGACAGCGAAGATTTGCAAGAGAGCCAGAAGCCCTATCGCGTGTTCGTATCACTTTTGGACGAGTGGGATATTGGATATCCAGTGATTCAGGCGGTCTTCTTGGATGCGCTACTTTCACTGAAGCGACACGTCGATTCGGGAAACCATGGAGCCGAGGTACTTTCCTCCTACCGCACATTGGGATGGAGTCAATTGGATATGGGGACACTTGGAGCATGGAAACTAACCAGATCTTCTAACGTGCAGCTCATTCAAACAGCGACTATGTGGATCGACATGACCGATCCGTATCTTATCTGGAAGAAGCTGTCAGAGGCAATCTATGATAACTTTCCTGCAGAGCCTGGCAAGGAGACGTACGCCCTAGATCTGGTGATATTCTTCCTGAACTCCTTCAAGTTGAACGACGATGAGATGCAGCACATGCATATTCCTATGTTCTTACTCTTCCTTTTAACAAGGATCCAGGTACATTTTATCAAAATAGCAGACGCTGAGACGGTTCAGATATATATCATAGCGGGTCTCTAACGTCTACTGCATATTATCGCTGTCGTCTTTAGGACATTATTGCGCAGGAAAAGCTACTCTTGTACGCGAGTCAGGTCAACAGTGCGCTCCAGCTGTGCTTGATGCTTTTCCGACATATACCCGCATCTGTCTTTGCACCGCTGACACCACAGGTGTTGCAGGCTGCTCAGCCAACACGCGCTCCTAAGTCAAAGCCATCTACGCCCACGCCCGCAGCAGCACAGAGCAAAGCTGAGAATGGAGGTAATCAACAAGGGACATCCAAGATTGTATCATTTGAGCCAGGAATGAGCGCCAAGGACTACATCGAGGAATTTTACATGCTTCTCCCTCAAGAGTCGGATGGTTCAGACGTTTCCACCTCCAAGGAATACGCGGGAATCAAGGGTCAGACGTTGACACAGCAGGCGCTCTCGTTTATTCAAAGCTTTATCTGCAACGCTTTGGATGTGTGTATGAATGATATTACAAAGACACATACACAGATATTGAGGGCAATGATCCAAAAGGCCTGTAAAATCGTGTTGATTCTCTCCAAGTACCAGGTACCCCCAGCGACTCCCGAGGATTACTTTTCTGGACTGTGGCTGGAAAAAATGCGTACAGCCTGCTGCAAGGTAAGAACATCAGACGTCGATGCCATTGGCGCTTTTTGAGTCTCCATACGCTCTGACTTCTAATAACATGGTTTATCTGATCAGGTGGACGACTTTGCGATTGTGGATGCATTGGTGACAACAATGGTAGAGCTGACTATCGAGCTCAAGGTGATCCATCCTTCTTTTTTGGATAACCGAGAACACATGAGGCCGATCGTGGACAGGATCTGGACGTTCTTTGCAGAGGACTATATGCACCTGCACCTCCGGGCGTCTCAGCTCATTTGGATGCTGCAGGATGTTACATCGATGAGTCACGAAGTGGAGACGGCTATTGCATCATATCTGGTTTCGGAGAATACCAAGCTCCGGATCGATGCATTTCAAAAGTTTGGCGTCTTCTGGCGACTGTCAGGTATAATTGCTGATTCCTGTGCACTATCCGAGGCGTAAACGCTATTTTTATACATGGCATGCGTCTGACATTAACGTGTGCGCCTATATAGACGACATCCAGTACAATTCTGTCGCGTTTGTGCGACCCATGATGCTGATGCTGGACTCACTGAGCAGTACCAATCCATCGAACAGGAGGGCAGGAGAGACCTGGATCCGGAGCAACCTTAAGTCATACCCTAGGCTTCTAGATCCACTCTTGCTTGTCCTTTACGACCAAACCATTGTGAGAAACAAGTCGGAGGAAACATTCCATAACGAATATTTCCCAGTTCACTACTACATTCGAAACTTCAACCAAGCACAGGTCCAGTACGTCTTCAACACGTTACTCACCGTCTTCCGGTTCGGAGGGCTCGGATTCTTGCGGTCGATACGGCAGTCCACCATCCCACTCGAATTAATTCCATCCGTGGCCAATGTTGTTGAAATCTCTGGTAAGTTCAGTGTCCGTTATACAGTTGGCTTGTAGGTGGACTGTGAGGACATCGTATGCTTACGCGATTTCCTTGGATAAACTATTGATCTCTCAACTAGATCCCAAGCTTCCACCTACCTACTTGGATTGCTTTGTACGATCAGCACTAAGGTAGTGTGTGATGAGAGACCCCAAGGGCTATATTTTCGCTCAATGGCAATATCCACAAGGAATCACTGACATGTATGCATTCGACTCTGCATAGGTTCATCGAGAGCGAGCCTGCGAGCGATTACAAGTCGATGTTGAGCTTGAACGAGGAAATCCATATGGTGACGGCAGACTTTTTGCACTTCATTGTCTCCAAGATCGATCATATTGAACCCAGTCTCCTGACTATGATCCACAGGACCGTCATCAACAAGATGCTCTACTGCATCAACCACAGCTGCCTTGATCTGCAGAGTCGCCTTCTTCACCTTCTTCACGCGACCATTCTCATGGGCACTACCCCTGTAAAGAAGGCCAGCCCCCCAATCCACTCATCTCAAAATGCACCCATGACTCGGGATGGCTCAGTATCCACACTGGACGGCGCAGCCGGCGGTAACCAGGTCGCTGTAGACACGAATGAGAGCCTGTTTCGTGTTATTGGCTCATCGCCGCTATTCGTTAAGACCGTCTTTGACGCGCTCTCCGTCCCCTCAAACCGACCGATATTGCAGCACTGGATGGACTTTTTGATGTTAGCGCTCCCATTCTTGACCAACTACTTCCGGCGAGTCCTGCTCCCGGTGATACAGTGTCTCTGCGATCAGATTTTACGGAGTCGAGCCTGCCTAGTCGAGGCATACTCGGAGCAGCAACGAAGTCTCAATGGGACCGGATCGCCTAATTTGACGGACCAGGATCTGATGATATTTTTGACAGGATTGGAGAGGCTATTGACATTTAGCTTGGCAGACGCACGTCTCGGAGAAGAAATCGATTCTGTTCACAAGCAGGAGTGGAGCGACGGTCTGAGAGGAAAGCCTGGTCTTATCGCCAATGTGCTCAGCATTGAAGTTCACCCTAGCGATTCTTTCCAGGAGAACAAGGTAACACTACGTCCGCATATGTTGATATCTTCTTCAATACCCTGCGAGATTTACTGCCCGGATCTCATTTTTTTTTTTTCTTTTTTCCCCTATTTCAATTGAAATAGGCCAGGGACACAGTTTTGTACAATATTGTGGGAATCATCCAGATTTTCGTCGAGCTTTGGTCGGTTTTCGATCGAAAAAACTTGCCTAGCGTTTCGGATACCGAGGATGTGTCTCTTCAATTTGTCGGCGAGCGTGTTCGGGCAAGGCTGAAGCGCATCTTGGCAGGGCTATACAAATCCTATCCCTCTGAGGTCACGGAGGCATTTGTGGAGCTATTTTTGACAGAAAACCCAAGCGTCTTGGATTTGGAGAGTCCAAAATTCGACCCAGACTATAGGACTCTCGACATCCTAAGCGTAATCCCGGGGGCATCTCCGTTGGCGATATTTTTGACATTGATGGAGAGCATTCGTTCAAGAACACAGGGCATGGCGACCACGCGATCCAAACGACCAAATCTGCGCATCAGTAAAGCGTACGTGTTCATTCTTTCGAATATGGAAGCCATGCTGTGAAGAAGTTTGCAAAGGATATCGCGTCTAATATCCATCTCATCTTAATTCCTGATGTCGATTAGTACCGATATTGTGCTGCTGCGCTTCCTTGAGATCTACTGTACATACCTGCCGTCGGTGGACTCTCTTGTCGACCTTTGGCCGCTGTGTTTGAATTTCGTACGCGAGTACTTCCCACAGGCAACGACATACAAATACGCATTCCCATCATTGCTTCGAATCATGACAGTGTTATGCGACCGTCTCTCGCATACAACCTACTTTGACGACAAGAAGATCCGACGGGATGCCTCGGAACTCTACCTGCGCGTCTTGGACTACTGCATCCTGACCGCAGGCCGTTCATTTGACCAGGGCATCTGGCTCCGCAACCGGAATCCACAGGACTTTGAGATTCTAGAGGAGAGTGACGATTCGAGGGAGTCCACGAGACCTCCATCGTCAAATCAGTCGGAGGCGGAGCAGGCTAGGCGCGCAGGAAAGACGAAGGAGGACGTGCTGATTCAGCAAATCCTTGTCAGTCTGTGCCAGATAGTGATCCCCAATTTGCGTAGGATCGTGCAGGAGCAGGACCGCATCACGTCGGTGATTACAAGCTTGATGTACTATGTGATAGCTCCGTCGCTGAAATCGCGCGTGGAGATCAATGACTCTTCCGTCGACCTATTATGTGAGGTATCCAAAATCCCTTTTGTATATCGAACTTGGCGCAAGGAAGTGTGGGAGGTGTTTTTGGATAATCGGTTTTTCGCTATGGGACCTGCCGCGGCCAGGAAGTGGCGTGTTTTGATTCAAACAGCAATGACTTCTGAAAAAGAGCGATTGCCTGAGCTGCTTGGTGAGTACCCGTGCATGTTTTCTCTGTTTTCCTCCGATGTGCCCTGGTTAGTGACTGAATGAAATATGTCCATTGATGATTGCCATATTAGGTCGGATATCGCCTTCGCCTACCAGCGCGCTGTTTACGAGCCGCGATCAAGAGTCACTGAACAGAGCCCTCATGTTGCGTCGATTGTCGTTTGTGATCTGGTGCGGTAGCGTTGACCAGTATCTCCCCCAGCTGCCTAACGTCCAAGAGAAACTTGTGGAACTGCTAAAGCTCAGCTCTACGGAGCAGGTGCATCCTGAGGTACTGTTCGTCTGGGGGGGGTTTTTTTTTTTCGATTCTTATACTTTTCAGTCACCTAAATGACACTTACCTTCAATACTTCAATATTTTTACTATGGGATAGATATACTTATGTCTTCGGGTGCTTTTGTGCCGAATCTCGAATCAACATTTGAACAACTTTTGGCCGGTGCTGCTTACTGAGCTTGTAAGCCATGCATCTCCTCTCTTTGCTGACCATTCTCGGCAGTTTATTGCAACCACTAATCAGCGCTCGATTGTTTTCTGTTCTCTTACAGATCCAACTGTTCAATTTGTTCCTGGCGGACGAAAATGATCGACCAGAACAGGTTAACCTATTCTTGTCAGCATGCAAGTTCCTGGACCTGCTTTTCGTTCTCCAAGATGGCCAATACTTTATGTAAGCTGTGTATACGGGCTGTATTGTTTTTCCATTTACTCTGCCAGAGTGCTCACGCTAACATTAAATCTCTCCATCTTCCCTCAACGCAGCCACCAATGGATATTTATTTCAGATGCGATCCGTAAGACAGTGATGAACTCGCCCATGGGCGAAGCCATGCCTCATGCGCTAATGGATCGACTAGGCAAAAAGTTATTTGAGGAGGCACCTCTGAACGGCTATGCAGGCGTTAACGCCACAGCCATTGCCACTCCTGGCTCCATTCATGCGCCAGGTGTATCACCAGCCCCGACCATTGCTAGTGAACAGTATCGCCCTCAGCAAACATCAGCGCTTTCGGACGACGATCGATGGTTGACAGAGAATGATATTCTTGAGCAAATGTCATTTGGATCAACCCGAAACCTCCTCACCACAGGATCGACCCAGTCGCTGCCGCTTTCAACGACGTCGACAAGTGCGACTACCATGACAAGTCAGATGGATGAACGACGGAAGTCGTCACCTGAGCAGCAACTGCAGCAACAACAGCAGCCGAGGACTTCAGAAAGAGCGCTCAAGAGACCTATGCTGACGATGCGTTCGATTCAGCATGTACGTGAGCTCGAGTTCTTCATGACACATGTTGCTCAGTACGTGTATCATACGACCTACACCCTTGCGAAGCCGGACAAGCAGTTTATAGAGGCGTTGATCGAACGCGATATGCTCGGAGGAAACGGCGTGGAAGAGTAGTATGTTTACAATAAACATGTTTTGTTAAAAACAAAACAAAAAAAAAAAAAAAAGCAATGTTATATTGGTTGATAGAAATACGATATAGACGTCGGTGATGCAAAAAATACTATGTCCATAGACTGCTCGTTTCCAATTTGTTACATGCGACCCCGACCACCTCTTCCACCGATCATGGGCTGCTGGTGCTGCTGTGGTTGAGGCTGGTGGTTCGTCCTGTAGTTGACATTATGAGCAGCGGCGTTCATTGCATGATGATTGTTATGACTGGTATTGTAGGTATTGAGATTATGTGGATGATGCAGATGAGACGAGGTCGTAAGCAGCGGATGAATTCCAACTGCCGCCGCCGTAGCTGCTGCTTTGCGGTTCAGAAGTCTCGCCTGAGCAGCCATGAACTCTTCCTCGGATGGCTCATTGTAGATATAACGCTGTTGTTGCTGCTGCTGCTGTTGTTGTTGCTGTTGTTGCTGTTGTTGGTATTGCTGTTGTTGTTGCTGCTGATGGTGCTGTTGATGCTGTGGATGCTGTGGCACTGCCGATGAAGTTGAGGACGATGGTCCGGACATTGAGGGGCCTACTGCAGGGTGCTGTGCGTTCTTTTTGGACTTTTTTTCCTTCCTGGGTTTCTTGGTCGAATATTTCTCCAGCAACGCATCCATTGCTCCTTGTCGATTCTTTCCGTTCTGCATCATCATCAATTGCAGCTCCCGCTCCGATCCAGGCTCTGGTGGCTGTTCGTCTGGTTCCGTGCTCGTATGTTTTCGCTTTGTCGATGATTGCTTCTTGAGACGCTCCAATCCCAGTTCCTTCCAGAGCTGCTCCGCCTCTGCGGCCTCGGCCTCAGCCTCGCGCTTCCGTCTTGCCGCTGCCTTTTGGTCGACGACAGGACCTCCAAAGGCCTTGTATTTGCGAGCGACCTTCGCATCAATCGCACTTTGAATAATCTTCCGAAAACGTTCTTCGTCCGTATAAGTGCAGACAGGGACAGCAGACAGGATTCCGTCCATGTCTCCACGATATGTCACATACGCGTGGATCACGTCCCGCTTTTCTTCATCCGAAAACCGATACGTCCGCTCAAACTCTTTGATTGTCGACTCGTTCACAATGCCGGACCAGAGCTCTCTAAAGTACGCATCCCATCCTCCTGCAGCCTGACCCTGAGCACCGAATCCTGCCATGCCATCCTCTGATACTTCCCCGGTCTCGTCATAGACGCGTCTCCTTTGAGGATCTCCTAGGACTGCATAGGCAAAACCCAGCCGTTGGAACCGTGCCGTTGCCTGGTCCCGATCAGAGTCTGTAGCGGTCGGACTCTGCTTGTCAGGATGGTATGCGAGCGCGAGTTTGTAATACGCCTTCTTGACCGTCGCCTGGTCGGCATCCTTGCTCACGTTCAGAGAGGCATAGAGCGACACCTCAGGGTCATACAAGGCAAAGGAAGTAACCTTCGGCATGGCTTGATGAGTTTCCCCTCTGTATTGTTTGGACATAGCCAAGGCATTGCAGAATGAACAAAAGGTTGCCGCATGGATTAAATAAATGAACAAAGAAGGTCAGATTCCGAATGTAACCATTCCCACAGAAGAAAGGTACGAGGTAACCAGACTAACAAAACGACGCTGTGTCTTTATGGAAGGCGCGTACCTTTCTGAAGTGCTATCGTGCTTTTGAGTTTCCAGAATGGGTTGCAGTGGCGTGGTGGAGACAGGCGGGCGGGCGAAGGGTTGCAGGACTGGGGCCGAAAACGAGGACATGGTCCAGGAGTTGGAATGATTAGCGTTCCTTGACAAGTAAACCCTTTTACTTTCTTGTTGGGCGAGTAGTAGAGAGCGCCTCGTGCATACCTCTGTGTTTGTGAAACTAGTGTTGTGAAGTCGAAGGAAGCAACGGGACAATTAAGTGGTATTGAGAGAGACAGGAGTGCGTTGCGGCAGTAGGAATGGGCGATGATGTTTGCGGGGCAAGGTGGTCAATGCAGAGGGGTTCAAGAAAAAAAGAAAAAAAGAAAAAAAAAAGACAGACGGACGGACAGGCAGATAGACAGACAGAGCTCCTTTGCGCTTTATTTGTGTAAACGCCACGTGATCATTCAAGCTTTAACTTTTTCAGGAACCGGCGCGCATACCAGACCAACCCGATGCTGACCAAGGTCAGGATGATACCCGTTGCCAGCTCGCCCTTTTGCGATGCAGGGGATGTCACGTCAAACAACCGCAGACCCACAGGGTCCCATCTATTGCCGACGTAGAGAAATAGAAGCAGATACAAACAGTTGTTAAGAAGCTGACCTAAATTAGTGCCCTTCTTATTCCTGTTCATGAAACAAACTCAACGGTTGTCTCCCACGTACGTGCTCTCAGTCCAGGTGGGCTTCGAAGCGTCCTTGATGTAATAGCTGTTGTCTTCAGCCATGGCGATACCGGTGCCAAAAGCGTCGTGATAGCGTGTCAACGTCGTGATACACTGATCGCCCACGCAGAACTCGTTAGCCTTGCATTGCACAGCACCTGGGCGGGAACTGCAGCCAGTAACGCGCGATGCCGTCGAGTTTGCGTTCTTGACACTCGTCATGTTGGCAAGGAAACTCCAAGCAAAGATGGGGAAGGGCTGAGATTGACTGTAAAGTGTTCCGGTGTAGTGGGGCAGCCGCGTTGGAGGCGTTGGAGAGGCAGTAACTATTCACAAAAGTTCAAAAGCCGCTTAGTTCAAGGCGGTGTGCCCGACATCAGCATTCGCAGTATCAGAGGCAAGTGCCGCGTTTGGCTGCCCAAGTCGTTACCATTGAGATACCCATCAATCAAGGGACAGGAGTAGTTTTTGGCCAAGCATTGCAGCAAATCCTGAACCAATTGGCCGTCGACCTGAATGCTCCCGATTGCCTGCTGTTGTGCTGGAGACATTAGACTTGCATCGCTCACTCCCTGCGCTTGGAGCCAGGCTGTTCTCGAGATAACCGTGGCAGCCTGCTGGATCGTCTGCACAGTATTCACAGGATCCCACGAATCGTCCAAATCCTGACTAGTGAGCTGACTCATTTGCTTCTGGTAGTCCGTCACAACCACGGCTGGAATGTTGCCCCGAGACTTCAAGAAGGCCATGGCGCTCGAAGGAGGTAATCCCCGCTGCGAACCATCCGAGCTGGCGGCCTGCACTGAAATCACCGGGGATGTTCCAGTGGAATTGCCTGCACTACTTCCAGCCTGAACAACTTGCTTTAAAAGGCTCTCTGAGGTAGCTCCCTGTACGTTGTCGATGTGAGCATACAGCGATGGTGCAGTCCCGCTGGGTAATCTAATGCTTCCGACTTGACCAGCCTCCAAGATCGAATCAATGTTGGCAGGATTAAGGCGTTGAAAATCTAGATCAGAGTAGAATGGATATGCGCATCCCGATCCTGAAGTTGGAGGTTTGATGCAGTTCACTGGATTCGAGATATCCTGCACGAAGCGCTGCGATCCACTGAGTCCCCAGGCCTCTGCTGTAAATAGGGTATATAGAATATGTTTCTGCATCGAATCTAGGGGAATAGATGACTGTAGGCACAGGTATGAAAGAACGTCAATAATCTTGCAAATTTGTTCCGCGTCGACTAGCAGCAGTGTCTTCATAGATAGAGCATACCCGACTCAGGGCCTCTGCAACTACGAGCAAGGTCACCATCCCTGTTATGGACGACTCCACGCCGATGGTGAGATCGTGAAACAACGAGCGGGAGTCCATTGCAGCCGACACGACCACGATTGGTTTGCCATCAGTCGATGAGATATTTGCCGAAGGTGTCGACCAAACAGAGGCCCCACCAACAGGCGTGCACCATCCTAAAGTCCATGAAGCATGAAGGAGACGATATCCAGGAGAAAGCACTTCAGTTCCATTGTCTATTGTTAATGACTTGGCGAGGTGCGTTCGTTGTTATTCCAGCACATCGTACCTTTGCGGAGACATGTCCCTGCGTCTTGTGCAGCCCACATAAACGAATGAAACTGAAGCGCCTTTAAGGGGTAGCTTCTGTAGCTCTTGAACTGATTCATATTGGCGGCCTGGATAACAGCGTTGTAAGACATGGTGTTGCGATCATCCATTGTGTTCAAGGCATAGATGGGGAAGTCGAAACTCTGATAAAGCAATCCTGTGCCCTGTATACAGAGACCACAAAAAGAATACCCATGGCGAGTCAGCAAAAACATTTTCCTTAACTCGTTACATAGATACAGTGGGGGTCGCTTAAACGGATACCGTACCGTGGGATTCCATTGGTACTGGTTTGCAGAGCCGGCATACAAACCAAACTCGCAGTTGGGGCATGTGCTGTCGGTTGAATTGATATTTGTTGGCCGAGCTGCTGGAGCATGCGCCGAGTCTGTCCCATTAACAACTGCAATAATGGCTGCCAGCCTTTGCGAGGATTGTAATATCTCGACATTTGAGCTGGCGTTTGATCGCGAGAGCAGTGGTGTTATTATCGTCACTCGTCCAAATTGCATCCATATGCGTGTGCCTTCCATTTCCACGAATTTCGTACGGATTCTCTGCCTACCTTGTGAGCAGCCAATATGGCATGACAATAGTGTACTTGCTCCCGAGGTCCTGATTCGACGCAAACTGCTGGATGTCATTCTGGGTATCTGTTTTATATAGCACTCCTGAAGCTGGACTTAGAGCTGCCATGCAAGAAAGGAAAAAGGAATAAACAACGGGTCCATTATCGACAGAACTGCAGGGCAGACAGCCTGGGTACATGGACATGTTCACTAGTTCCTTACATTGGCATCCTATGCTCCCCGTGGCATTCAATAAACGGACACATGGCAGGGACCCAATGTCGTTGTAAATGATATCGTAGACATCCTGGGTCCTGACCAGTGTGCATACTACCATGAGTGAAATCAAATAGTATTCGAGTTGAGTGTCTTTGCTCAGAACCTGTGTTTCCCATGTCTTCTCATCTGGAGCACTCACAAGCTGTCAGGCCGATGACAAGCCTGCTGAGAATCCTGTTGGTCCTGGGCCGTGTTGCATCCATTCCCTGGTTATCAGTACGAAATGCAGAAGAAGGAAAAGAGATGCTTGAAGAGGATTGCAATGATGCTGTCCAGAAAGAAAGGGGCGACAAGACGGCAAGCACCATACTTGCCCATGGCATTCACTCCACTTGGGCAAAGCTCAGTTCTCATGCCTTAAGGGCGTTGAGGTGCCCGAATCCTGGCAGTTGATCAACGGATGCGAGAAGGATCACTCCTCTCCTCCCCTCAGGCATCTCTCCTCCTCCTTGCACATCCCATACAGCGATGATCCCCTTCCAACGCACAGCATTCGCGATCTCTAGGACAAAGTACGCGGCCCTGGCCGCCTCCTACACCACTCGATCCAACGGCGCCGCATTTCTCAACAACCTCGACTTTCTCGCCCCCGCACCCACCTCACGATCCTCGGCCCCCACTCCCTCTCAACCTACCCCATTCCAGGAGACCAGGAAGAACACCCAGCAGCGGCAACAGCCTCTACAGACCAGTATCAGTCGGAAATCCGCAAAGGGCACCCTGTCTCTAGACGACAGTTTTGACGATCTCTTCCCGGCTAACAGTGATACCAAGAGCTTCAAAGGATCTTTCAAGCGTTCCGACGACCGTATTACGGCTCAACGGGACCAGAACTCGCGTCCTGCATTGGATAGACCTCGTCGTGACGAAGAGATCGACTTGCAATGGATCCAATATATCAGCCCTGAGGGCAACCAAGGCGAGAGGCGTCTCTCCTCTGTGCTGAAGACCTTTGACAGATCTCAGTACTTCCTGGTCGAAGTCGATCCGAATGCCCGCCCGCCCATTTGCAAACTGTTCAGCAAGAAGGAGCTTTACGAGAAAGCCAAGGCTGTCAAGCAAGCCAAGAAGGCGAACGAAATTTCGACCAAGGAACTACAACTCAACTGGGGTACAGACTCTAATGACCTCACCCATAAGCTGTCAAAGTTCAGGGCATTCCTCGAGAAGGGTCACCGGCTTGAGGTTCAGGTCAATGGCAAGAAGGGCAGGAACACAACCCCGGCGGAACGTGAGGCCGTTCTGGAGCGCTTAAAAGCAGAGTTTGAGCCGGTGTCAAAGTACGTGAAGCAACCAGAATGGATCAAGGCCACGACGGTGACAATGCTTCTCCAGGGTGTGTCGCCAAAGAAGGCACAGAAAGGAAAAGAGCAGCAAGCCTAATATGGCCTCAGGATGATGACTGTCAAATAAAATAAGGAAAAAACCAGAGCGCCATGGCATGCTATGCCATACGCAGTGCGCTACGTTTTAAACGCAATGAGATATATGGGGCGATAATTCTTTATAGCTCGCTTGGAATCAAGCAAAAAAATTTGTGAACTCATACAGGAGGAGATCCTACGATCATCAGGGGCGCTTCGTCCTCAATCGCGTCTTCCTCACTCTCGTTCACGACAAGCTTGTGGCCAAGCATTCGGCTTTCACGAATCCGTCGATTAACGCTCCTGTACTTGGGTTTCTCGACCTGGGTCTTGTAGTATTGCAGCGCATCATCAAGTGGCAGATGATCTGTTAGGTTGCGACGCTGCATCACCGAAAGGCAGTGCTTCGAATCCATCTGCAGATCAAGGATATTGGGGTTGCCAGCTCCTGGTGAGAACCCGATGCGAAGAGAATACTCAGGCGACTGAGGCGGCTGAGGAAATTCACCGGGTATAGGTGAGTCGAAAGGAGAAGCCGATCTGCTGTTGGGCGCAGCAGGGCCACTTCGTTCGTACAACTCAAACGTAATCTGGGTCAAATCTAGAATGGTGCTCATGTTAGTAGGAGCCTCAGAGCAAAAAAGACCTGAACATAGTAAATGTCAGGCACCTACAATCCAGCTCTGGAATCTTGCTCTTCCTCAGTCTGGTGGGGATGCCAGAGAGATAGACAATATTGAGTAGTGTGTGGACATGGGATTCTACAGGGAAATCGGTATCATCGACATTAACTTCAGCATTGCGGTGAGTCGCTTTTTTAGACGCAGTATATTTGATGCTTACCTTTAGTGAAATACAGTTTGGTGCAAGGTGCAGCATCTGGGCGCTTGCACGACTCCAGGTCCTCGACAATCTGCTTGATCAACGGCATGCTTGTTAGCAGGCCAATCTCCAAACGATCCTCCTCGCTGATACCATATTCGAGGGGAGCCACAAAGTCGAATAGGATCTTGGCTTTAGCGTAAAGGTCCTTGATAGGACCCAACCCCTCGCCTGAATCTCCATCCACAAAGATACACTCCATGAACGTCCGGTTGTGCAACGCATCGTACTTAAGTGAGTCGTACAGCTCCGAAACCTTAGATGGATCAAAGTCCTTTCGGTCACCGTCCGCAAATTCGCCAAAGATCTTTTCCCATCGCTCATAGAAAAGAGAGGGACTCTCGTAGCAGCACCACGACTTTTGTATGGAGTCGATGTCGAGCAGCTTAAAGTTCTTCCTCATTGTCTCGCGCAATTTTCTCATGGCGACGATGATGTCCTGAACCAGCTCTCCTGGGTCGGCCGTATTCTTAGGCCATATGTTCCTTATCTCCTCAGCGTGATTTGGCTGAAGTAGGTCGTAGAGCTCCTTCTTGACTGCATCGGTCTTTTCCTTGGCGGCATTACTGTCGTCAAGCATCTCCTTGCGGATCTGCAGCATGTCCTTGGGGACCTCGCGGATATCGAGGAAGCGCTGAGTGAAGAGCTCTGCCGTGGCGCGAACGCGTCGCTCCGAGGAAGTGAAAATCTGCACATCGTCCAAGACATGTTTGTTCATGATCAGCAGGTCCTTGCGAAGGTTATCTCCCAGGTCTCTGGACTGATACTTCGCCGCATGTGTAAACTAAAATAGAGCACTATGAAGGTGAGTATTGAATACGTCGTGACCGATCGCCATCCTTATCAAAAATGGCATAGCAATATACCTCTCCGCCCCATTTAACGATAATCTGGAGCTTGACAGACTTTGAGTTGCCTTCATCGTCCTTGGTAATAGTGGGTTTGACTTGGACCTTGGTGCCTGGTAAGCTCGACTTTTTGTCCAGGATGTTCTTGAGCAACATCAATTTACTGCTGTCCTCGAGTTCTTCCTCCATGGCCTGTTCGGCTGCTGCCGACACCAGTCTCAGGTCTCTCGCATGCCGAATAATAACCTCTTCGCCACCGCCGTTAAGTAGCTCCCTAAATGGTGCCGAACTGAATGTGAACTTCATCTTTTGCTTCGGTGTCCGGTCGGCATGTCGGAATACAGAGACGAATGCCTTCAGCCTCCATGAATTCTCAGCACTGAGCTCCCTCGGGAAGACAACTTCGGACAGCCTGCGCTGGCGCGCGTTGCGCAGAAAGACACTCTGGAGAATATTGGCGCAATTGTTGTAGTAATAGTTGTTGCCCTTGACAAAAGACCAGCCGTTGACATCGATCACGTAGGATTTGCCACCGACACGCAACAGATCGAATCCACAGACGCGCTGACCAAACACTTTACAGATCCCGGCTGCCATCTCCTTCTCCTCCGGTGTGAGCTGAGCAACGTAGCGAATCTCCTTCCCATCTGTGTTTCTGCGGACATACCCATCGACAACTGGAGACCTATTGTTAATGCGCATTCAGAATATCTATATTAATATCGCGCTTGAGGCTCTTAAAGTATTGATACCAAGCTGGTCAGTACTTACTTTCGCGTCTCCGCATGGACAAATTGATCTCCAATGGTGTAGACCTTGATATCCTCGGCATTGTCGACATCCATGAATTCTTCATAAATGTAAGATCCATCTATTCTAGGCATGTTCAAATCTGGATCGTACTCGCTCGATTTGTTGGCGACCTAAGATGTGAAGAGTAAAAATATTATCCAGTCAGCGAAGACAGCATCGAGGATACTGAATCTTTATAATGTTGTTTGCGACTAGTGCAGGCAATATACCTTGCGGAAGAGCCGCCTCGCCCCACCCCCAGTTGAGGAGTGATAGTAGATATGGATGTTGTGGTCCTCTCCCGAGACAGGCTTCTCGACGAATGGTTTTGTTATTGTCTGGTCGCCGATTTGGATGGTGTCCTGGTCAATGATCTTAAATTCTGGAACAGGGCGGCGTTGCAACACACTCACGCCTCGCAGCTGCAGTTTCTGAAGGACTCTTTCATCCAACTGAGGTCCACCATCACGGTCCATGGTCAGTCGCTTCGGCGTAGGCACTCCGATCTTTTCCATAATCTCCAGTACCAGTCGTCGGTCCCAGAGGACAGTCTGCATATCGACCTCGTTCACACAAAAGGGTGTCCTCAGTTTGACATATTCGATTGCCTTCCGAAGAGGAAACCCCTTTGAGAAGAAGGAGATGAAGAAATCGCAGGCAGGCCACGTACTGACGTCTGGTCGGAGAGAGCACAATGCATGATGGTTAGTGCTGTCCCGAATCGCGTGACCCTATCGCGCCTCGCCATATGGTTGCGCACTCAAGACCTAAAAACGCAACGCAGCATAACACAAAGTATCAATGATAGGAACCAATGACCTGCAGCACATACCTTCATCCAGGATACATTTGTCGCCAAAAATAATAGCCTCAAAGGGCCCGCTGGTTAAGAGTCGGTCGAGGATGTTGCGCATGGGTTTGGACCTGGCCTTATCGTCCATCGCACACACTCCAATAATGTCTACGAGTCAGGCACGAGTTCGTCAGTACGCTTGTAACCTTGTTGGTTTCTGTTCCTGAGGGCAACCGCTTCCCTAATAGCGCATCCTGGGCTTACATTTTTTGCGAGGATAGAAAGATCCGGCCATGGTTGCGGGGGAAAGCGAGCCGAATGAGGGACTTGTGCTCATTGCGGCGACATCAATCTCGCCATCGTTGTCAAGTCGAGATGCGATGGAGCGGCCATAGGATTTTGGGATGGTGAAACCACTGTTCATGGTTTGGCGGCTGTCCAATAGACTTCAAGTTGAATGGAGGGGGAGAAGGAGCGACAACAAAGAAAGAGGAGAGACTAGAGTGAGGGGTGCGACGAGAAAGACAGAAAAGGAGAGAAAAGAAAGAGGGAAAGCGAGATGGATCCAGAGAACATGTCCTTCCTGCTCTTTTCTTGGCTGGGGTGGCGAGAAGAGGTGCAGCCATGTGCCTAGTGGTCCTGCAGCTTGATCCCAATGGAGATCTATCCTGCAGGAGATCTTTGAACGCTAAATAGCTGACAGCTTACCAGCGAGCATAACCCTAAGTTTATGCGCAGGAGCGCAGGAGTCACGTCTATCGCAATGGGGTTCGGCAAGTCATGGTGCTCTCGCGTTTCAATTGATTGATTTGGTCAGCAAGCTGCGTCGGGACACCAAGGGTTGCACAAGGAACAGCATGCAATGCAGGGCAATGCAGTGTGCATTCTCATCGGGCCACCCTGGAGACTAGAAGAGTAGAGATCCATCGATGTGACATGCCCGGGGTTGTGCGACTCCTGTCCCTGGCGTTGAATCTGCGCCCAGCGGAACGTGATGTCAGATCCCCCCCCCCCCCCAAAAAAAAAAAAAAAAAAAAGGCGACTAGAATAAAATGTCCAGGTCACTTCTCACTTCTCCCTTTTCTCGTCTCATCACTGCACCCATTTTCCAGCATAAAGGATATCGAGCAACAGAGCCCAGCTTTTCGATCAAAAGGAACTCGACATAAATCCCCTCAAGAACAGGTAGGGCTTTTGGAAACTTACAGACGAGATGGCCACAGAAAAGAAGTCGTCGGCAAGGGCGGAGCTCCTCAGGATCACCAAGAAGCACCAGAAACGAGGCAAGCAATGGAACTGTGAACACCATCAACACAAAAAGGCGTAGTTTGTCTTCAAGCATTAACACCGAGGCCGCCCGATGTCCGTATCGCTAAATAGTTTTGGCCTTAGGATTGCGGTTCCAGACGAACCCATTGTTACCACTGTTGCCCTCGCCCATATCTTCGCCCTCTCTCACAGCAATAAGTACGACAGAGCCACCGATCACCTCGATCGCTTCGGATCGTTCGTCCGCTGCCCCAAAGCAGATTCAACTTACGCAGGATGCTCTTTCTGATCTCAGCAACGTACTGGAAAAGGATTCAGATTCGACTCTGATCACAGCGGATGAGCTTAGAAGACTGAAGACTTGCAGCCACGCCTTGCTCACCGCAGCATACCAATGTCTCTACATGGCAACAAAGACGTCATGTATGTCTGAGGAAAGCAGCTGGATCGGGTCTGGAATGGCGAGGACTGGGACCAACAGAAGCACGTTTCTCGAACGGGACTGGACCAACGGACGTCTATACTATGAAGGTATGGCATGGTCATGCGCTGGATGAGATATAAGAACGAAGGGAAGAAAAATGACAAAAGAATTAGATCGCGTATGATCACTGATATATTGCTTAACAATGGGCCTTCCACGCATATGTTCTACACTAGCGCACTACATCTTCCGCCTGGGTCTGGAAGACATGGTCGCTTTTATGAAGACGGAGCCTACAATCGTGAAGTTGCACGCATTGTTTGAGCAACCGATGAAGGATCTCAAGCTAGAGAGTGACACTCACGTCAAATAACATAGTGACAATAAAGACCAGGAGATAAATCGACGTTTGTGTTGGAAACGTATAACGATCTCTTGCGAGCCCACTTGTCCTTCTTCTGGTGACAGGTCAGTCTTCCCACGCGTCTCCGTGCCCACATCGGAACTCGGCTGCTGCTAAAAGGCAATGTCCATCGCCAATGGCGGCTTCAAGAAGACGTTACGGACTGGGGTGCGGAAGACTACCTGCTACTTGCTGCATCCCCATGTTGTAGCGAACGAACTGCCCAATCTATATCGTGGTCAAGTAAGTAGCGCTTCGCCTAGCCAGGAATAATACTGAACCGATAACAGTCGTATGACAGCTCGGTGGTATTGTTGGCATGCAGCAGGCATGGGGAATGAGTGTCACCAAGTTCATCCTTTCATTGTTCTCTTTTCCTTTGTACTGGCATGCCCTCCAACGCACACGCTGTACCATCGCATAGTGGGAGGAGGGCGTGTCCACTCGAGGTCGCAAGTGATCTTGGGTACCAACATCCCTCTCCCCATCATCAAATACACAATCGACATCGCCAATTGAGCATTCCTACTCCTTAGCCAGGACACATATCCAATCCATCCTAAGTATTTTATCTGCTTCGCCCAGACTCTACCACGCCCCAGCACACTATCCCACTGAACCCCAAAATTAGATAGCCTGCATTCGCCTTCCCAGTTCGATCCCTGTTTTTTTATCCCCATGCCCGCTTCTCCACAACAGGCTGGTCCCTCCTTGACCAAGGTCGGGGCGAGTTCCGGAAATGCGTCTGAGTCTACGTAAGGCGGATCCCAGACGGACGTCATGGTCGCGAGATCTGGGTCGATGGATGTACAACCAATGCATGCCAACTCGGACTCCCTCATACTGCGGATAAGGCCAAGCAGAAGAACCGATTCCTCTCGATCCCACTACCCGGGCATGTTGTAGCCTACCCGACCAGACATAAGGTCAGCACTGCTAAGCTGAACCGAAGCCGTGTCCTTGGCCACTGAGGCCAATCGTCTATGCGCGACCTTCTTCGACCAGGAGCAGTTCGACCTGGCCCTAAACATCT